GACTTGGCTGGAGGAGTACATTGGACTTAACCCTCTGAGAACAGGCTGGCTATTGAGTGCTGCGGTAATCGTATCTAAACGATGAGCTTTGACCTCCACAATCCTCGGAAGGGCACGGGCTGGCTTTTCATCTTGTAGATGGGCACAGAGAGGGCAAATCAGCTGCCAGAAGCCACACAGCTTTCAAAGCGGCCCCAGTCACGTTTGAACTCTGGCTTCAGATGCCACCCCCTTTTCCCCAAGTTCTCTTACTGAAAGCCACCTGCCCACCAGGGGTGGGCTCCTGGGGGTTCTCGGGTCCACTAGTTATGGAGTCTGTGTTACAGGTGTGTCCTTTTACTCTCAAAAGGTATGCAGAAAAAGTTAATGGAACGATGACCCTTTCCTCTCAAACTTTTTGAAGCCCCCTCAGATGTAGGGATGGGCAGGAGTATGCAGCCTTCAGACATCTGGGTCTTGAGGGAGGAGGCAGCCTGCCATCCAATATCCACATGCGCATTGCTGGGCAGCGAGGGATTTTGGATGCCTGTTTCCCTGTCCCTGAGAGGGCGTGGAGAGTGGTGGCATAGTGGTTACGTCGTGGGCTGCTAACCAACCACAAGGTCCACAGTTCGAAACCAGTAGTCACTGGAGTGCTCCACGAGGGGAAAGCCTGGACTTTACTCCCATCAAGAGTCACATTCACCGACACTCGCAGGGGGCAGCTCTGCCCTATAGGGTAGACATCTATTCCATGGCAGTGCCCTTGGCTTTGTTGTTTTGGGTACTGAGGGAGGGAGGGCCACTCCTTTGGTTTCTACAGCAGGGTCAGTGGTGTGATAGGCAGGGCTGGGCTCTCAGTCAGCCGGCTCCAGGCGCAGCGACAGAGTGCTGAGGACGCGTTGAAACTTCTCCAGGCGCTGGGCTCTGGGCGCCCCTGCCCCACGGCTGCCCCAGAGCAATCTCCGCAGAAAGCCAGTGGTCAGCGCCTCCCTCAGCTGAGGGTTGGGCCGGAATCCTGGGGAAGAGGTCAGGTGGGCTGGGGGCGGGGCCGAGCACTGGCCTCGCCCCTCCAACACCTCCTCTTCTCCTGCAGACTTTGACCCAGCAGGGGACCCAGGGACTCTGCCCCAGGTGTAGGGTGCAGACTGGGCAATGTAGGGGAGGATGGGGTGCACCCTGACCGCGCTGCCCTGAACGGACTGGGCAGGGGGCGATTTGGACTAGGTAGCAGTGCTGAGGGGCTCATGTGAGAGACCCCGGAAAGGAGGCGGCGGGGGGTGGGGGTAGGTGGGGGGGAAGGGTAGGAGCAAGGTGCGGCCCAGGGTAGGACATTTTGTGCCGAACCGGTGTTCTTGGGGCATGGAGTCACGTCTGCCCCAGACGGGGATAGGGTTCCACGGGCGTGGCTCCTGGAGCGTTGCTGTGTGTTTCTGGAGTCCAGCCTCATGGCTGCCCAGAGGAGGGGGGCCGCTCACCTCGCAGGCGCTTGGCTGCCACCTCGCGAAACTTGGGCCCGTCCCGGGCCACTTGACGTGCCCGGCTCAGGGTGCTTAGCAGCCTCTCACAGCTCTCCTCTGGCAGCCCCCGCGCCTCCTCGCCCTCCAGCAGGCGCACCACCGGCGCCACGTGCGGCAACGCCACGGGGCCTGGCTCCCAGGGTCCTATGGAGGGAGGGGTTGGGGGCTGTGCTGGGTGGTGGGCGGGGCCTAGAGCAGGGCAGCTAGAACCTCCCAGGGGAATTGGAAAGGCAGACAGGGTGGAGTAAGACCTCCTAAGTAGAGGGCGGGACCTGCTGGAGGGGGTGGAGCTTAGGTAAATACGAGGGTGGAACCTGGGAAAAAGTTAGCAGCCTGGCAGGGAAAGAAGTTGAGGGTGGAGAGCGGGGTTTCAATCAAAGGCAGGGACTTTAAGGGCTGAAAAGCAAAGGTGTTACTTCAAGGACTAAGGTGCACCGGACCCAAACCATGGTATTTTCAATTGCTTTCTTGTACCGCGAATAAGGAAGGCCGAAGCATCGCCACATTTGAATGACGGTGCTGGCGAAGGATATTGAAAGTACTACGGATTGGCAAAAGGACAAACAGATCCGTCTTGGAAGATGTGCAGCCAGAATGCTTCTTAGGGGCAAGGTTGGAGAGATTTGGTCCCACGTCCTTTGGACATGTTATCTGGAGAGTCTAGTCCCTGGAAAAGGACACCGCGCTTGATAGAGGGCCAGCAGAAATGAAGACCCCGCCCCCCCCGACAAGATGGATTGGCACGGTGGCTGCACCAACGGGCTCAAATACAAGAGCAATTGTGAGGACGGTGCACCACCTGGTAGTGCTTTGTTCTGTTGTGCACCCACTCCTTGCAACCTAACGAAAACCAAGCAGGGACCAGCACCTGGGATGGAGATAGGATGTAGCCTTAGGGCATGGGTGGAACCTGAGAAGGCTGGGCCAAGGGCAGGGGGCGGGGCCTATTAGAGCACTAGGGGCGGGGCCCAGCTACGGGGCTACAAAGCCTTAGGTCAGCAAGAACAGGTGTAGGTAGACTACGCGACGGTCCCTCACCTGCACTCTCATCCAGCGACCTCATCAGTGGCTTTAGCTCCTGTTCAAAGGCCAGTGCTGCCTCCGTGTGGCTCTGTCGGAGCTGGCGCCACGTGCGCTCCAACCTGGATACCTAGTGACACAGTAGGAGACCATCCATGGCCTCTGTGCCTCCTCACCTGCACTGGACCTCCCCTCAGCCCAGTCCCCCGCCCCAAGCACCTGGGGCATGAGCAGGGTGCCCATGACCGCCGCCAGTCCGAGCAAGTCCCCCACTGCTCCTGGCCGCAGCGCCAACGCCAGCTCCACCAGACCCCTGAGCGCGGCCACGCGCTCCTCCAGCGGCCCCGTGCAGCCCAGCACAGCCAGCGCCCCAGCCAGCTCCAGCGCCTCGTGCCTGCGGAGATGAAAAGCAAGGGTTGGGTTGGGGTGGGGGAGAGGGGGCTGTAAGCATTGCCCTTTCCTCTCCTGGGCAGCGGAGAGGGGGAAGGGCGGTGATGCAGGGATAACTATTCAAAGACCTTGGGCCAGGGGAGAACCCCCACCCCCACCCCATGTTAGTTTCTAAGCGGCCAGCTCACCTCTCCAGCAGTTCCAACCTCAATCGATGTCCATGGGGAAGTGTCAGCAGCTCCAGACCTGAGGCCACCCCCATGGCTCCCCTCTGGGCTTTGGTCACTCCCAGGAGGCCTGTGGCCTGGGTAGAAGGGGGCGGGGCGTGGAGAAGAAGGAGAGAGTACCAAAGTGTGGGGTGCCACTGAGGCTGCAGGCCCCTTACCTGTCCCCAGAAGGTGACTCACTTGGCAGTCCACCAAGAGCAGGTGGAGGGCAGTGCTCTCCGGATGGTGCTCCAGGAATAGGCCCCGGAGAGTCTTCAGGACCCCAGGCTCCAGGGGCCGGTTCTGGGGGCCCAGCAGGCAGGACGGGGTGTCAGGGTGGCTGAAAGAGACTTCAGCCTGGGGGCGCTGGAAAGACCCATCTTCCTCATCCTCTTCTTCAGGGACTTCCCACCATGGGGCCTCTGGCTCCGGGCGGCCTTGGTCAGGCGGTGACCTTTGGGCACCCGGCATGCGAGGCACCAGCTCACAGTATGTTGGGGAACGTTCTGAGGCCTCAGGCAGTGCCAGGGAGGGTGTCCGGGGGGGCTTGATGGGTGGCTTGGCATGAAGCTGCCCATCGGAGGCATGGAGGCCATTGGCAACCACCCCGAGGGGAGCCTGGGGCTTCAGCAGCAAGGGGTCACTGCCTGTCCGAGGCAGGGAAGATGGGGATATGGCTGAGGCTCCTGGGGGGTCATACAAGAGAGGGAGATGGGTTACACAGAGAAGAGAGATGAGGCAGGGGTTCAACCTCTCAGCCAGTAATAAGGGCTCCTCAGTGTCCAGTTGCAGCCTTACACAGCCCCACCTCACTTGCAAAGGGATTGAATGCACCAGAATACGTTTTAAATCGGACTTCTCTAGTCTAGTCCTGCTGACTGGGGAAGGCATGCACCGATCGAACAAAATTGGAAACGGAATTATTCAAGCGTTATACAGGTAGCGAACAGCGGGACAAGGGATGACTGGCTCCTCAAAACCAGCTGGCCTTTGAGCCCTGTGATCTCAGTCCTAACCCGGAGCCCGACGAAGTAATGGCAGGCACATCCACAGGTCCTTGGGCACCCGGGCACCGTTCGTTCACTAGAGCCAAAAGGTAGAGATGATTCAAATGATGGCTACGCACAAGGTGATCCATCCACACAATGGAATACCCACAAAACAAACCCTCTCCACCCGCACTGCTGCCGCCTCCATTTCAACCCAGGGCCATCCTACAGGACAGAACATTGGCCCTCCTGGTTTCTGAGCCATTGACATCTTGGCAGGAGCAAACAGCCTCACTTTTCTCCCATGGAGGGACTGGTGAGTTTGAACCTCTGACCTTGCAGTGGGCAGCTCAATGCATAGCCCGCTGGACACCACCAGGGCTCCTTAATGGAACCGTGGGCTGCGAACACATCAAGCGAGTCAGTCCCAAGAGGGGAGGCCCTGTCCGCTTGCACTTTGGAAAGAAGTGGACACGTGGAAACCACAGACAATTTTCTGTCCTGAAAGAAGTACAGCCCCCC